GCTAGTGTCTTGTGGGGCTGGCAGGTGGTGTGGTGTTTGGGGTGTTAGACTCCCACGGGACCAACCGATTTGCGTCCTGGGCCTGGCAGCTTGCTTTCTCACTCTTTCTTTCTCTGTCTCTCTCTTTCTCTATGGTCAAATTGAATAAGAAGAATAAACTTAAATAAATAACTAAAAAGCAGGGTCTAGTGCTTACTTCTTCCACTGCACTTGTCTTATTTCATAATTATCAGTTTTTGGTTTGTCTCATCAAATCCAAGCACAGTGCCTATTACGTGGGGCGACGGAGGCTGTTTCCTGAATGAACGTCAGAAAAGTACCGCCCTCCCCCATTAGTAATCCGTGGGACCGACGAGGCTGACCTCGGCCCTCCGCACGGCGGGAGCGCAATCTCGCAGCCCCACTGGGACTCACTGCCCTCCCGCGCGGTCCGGGAGAGCCTGTGGCGGCGTTGCCAAGTAACCATGGCCGGAGGGAGGAGGGACCCAAGCTGTCCGATGCGCACGACGGTATTCCCCGCTCTGCCCGGCTCTCTGCCCCGGGAGCGCTCCTGCCCCATCCCGACGAGGGACAGCGACGTTCCCGGCGCTCCCTCCCTGCCGCGGCTCCCTCCCCCTCCGGAGCCTGGGTCCACAAAGAGGCCGCGCCGCGGCATCCTCGGGCCTGGCCGCAGGGGGAGGGGGCGGCCTGGAGGCAATGTCGGGGTCTGCACGGGCTGCCGTGAGCTGGGCCATGGAGCCCGGGGAGTCGGGGAAGGTAGGACTGGAAGGGCCCTGGGGCCAACCACTCCCCTCCGGCGGATCCCTGGCCTGGGCTCCCGCGAGCCTCGGCGGGCTGGGCGGGGTGCCGGCAGTTGCGCCAACCTTGCAGGGAAGCACTCGCCCGCTCGCCTGCCGTCTCTGTCTTTGGGAAGGCGTCGTAGGGAGCCTGGCGCGTCTTCGCGGCTCCCCGCTGTCCCCGCGGCTGGCCCACCCCCCTTCTGACAAGTAGCTACTCTGCCTGCTGGGGTGTACAGAGATGAGCGAAAGTGTCCCCGTTGAATTTGAAGGTTTTGAGGCTGAATAGGACCAGTGGGAACCATAGGGTGGCAGTGGCAAGGCGGGCAAGAGCGTGGTCCAGCCTTAATCGCCCTCCCCAAGAAAGCTGGAAAGGAAAAGAGGAAACCTGGCATATTTCTTGCGGGTTTCTGTTTTTAGATACTAAGTTTGCTTCAGACTTCGAGCAAGAGGTTTAATTTGGAATAAGGGCGGGGAGAACGTGCCGGGGAGCAGTAAGTGGGTCTGACAGGACTGCTGGCGTGCAGAAAGCAGGGTCAGCCCCTGTAGGCACTTTGGCTTGGAGGGTGGCAGCCTCTTGGCTCTAAGCTCCTTCTGATTGTTTATTGCATTCTTGAGGACTGTTTTTCCTTTGGCACAGAGGAGATTCTCTCAGCAGATGGGTTTTTGAGTGTTTATTGAGTTCCACCATTAAAATAAAACCATGTTCATTGAATAAACATTTGTGATCTGTGGTTTGCATTGAATGAGATGGATGTACCTGGGTGAATAAGAAAGGACCGCTTTCCTCGAAGGAGTTCTGCAGTTTTCACTTAGAAGTCTTGGACAAGCCTGGCAGGATCGGCCCATACAAACAAACAAGAAAAAGGATAATGAGATTTTTGTTTTGTTTCGTTTTTAATTGCTAGAGGGCACATGGGGGGGCTGAAACACTCCCCTGCCCCACCCCACACCCACATGGAGCATAGTCCTAGCACAATCCCTTCTCCCTTCATTCTGCTTCCCATCAGGATTTTGGGCAAGTACCCACTGCCTCGAATGTTTTTCAAGCTACCAGCATTTGGACTGTGGTCAGCTGTTCAGGAGCTGGCTTCCTTAACCCCTAGGTCATGGGGCCAGTCCTAGTATTCAGACTATTATTTTCATCTGGAGTTTTTCCTAGGAAGACTGGAAAGGACTGGGAATTACGAAAGAAGTTATGTCTTGTTTAAGCATCTCTTCTGCCCTCCCTTCTGTCCACAAGCTAGAGTGATGGATTTTCCAGAGGCAGCATCATATAGAATGTGGTCCATGACAAGAAAGCTCAGCAGAACTGGAAGGAACCGAAGGTGACCTGTGTGCCGGCCTTGTGCTAAGCACTGCAGGAGAGACAAAGTACAAAACAGCCCTTGCCCTTGGGCGATATCCCCAGAATAGTTTAAGTTAAACCTTAATTTTGATGAGCAGTGAAACATAGGAAGAAGAGTCATGTGAAAGTGTCAAGATTGGAATTCGTGATTTGAGGTCAAAGTCCAAGGTAATCTGTTGAGTGGTAGATTTTCTTAGCCTTTAGTGGAAGAAGAGAGAAACAACCATTTTGCGAAGTGGAGATGTCCTTTAAAGGTCCAGCCACTAGCTGAAAACCCTGGGGACTGGACATTAAACTCCTTTTTTTTTTTGGAGAGGTTTTGTTTTGTTTTGTTTTGTTTTGTTTTGTTTTGTTTTGTTTGTTTTTGCTATAGGGCGCATGCACTCACCAGACAGAGAGAAACAAAAAGCAAGAAATCATCCCCCAGGAGGGATGGCCACGCTGTACTCCCTTCTCCTCCATTCTCTTCTCGGGATCTTGGTCATGCATGCACACGCGCCCGGCATGAGTTTAAGCCACCGGGTCCGGGACTCAAACTGCAGTCAACTACATGGGAGTCCAGCGACATAGCCATTACGATAACTGCTGGTCCCTGGACATTAAACTCTTGATGCCAATCTTGCTCACAAGTGTCTTAAAAGGTACTCATCTTTCCCAAGTACATCTGTTTTCTAACCAGGGGAATGAGAACATTAGCCAAGCATGAAATAAAGTGATCACAAAACCAGCTGACAACGGAGAGTGGATTGCAAATGAGTGACTATGCAAATGTCCATTCTGAATGTTTTTTTAGCTGAAGCCTGTCAAATCGGGTAACTGGTGAGGGGGGTTGTCCTCTTGATGTGGAGGCTCTATTTCTGGGACCTTCATTTGGTGCTATTTTGTCGTACTAACTCAAAGCAATCTTGGACCGTTTGGTTGTGTGTTATCTTCTGTCATTGACTAATAGAGGTCAAAGACTTCTTCATCATGATTTAGCCCACTATTCTGTTTCTTTGTTGTTATTTTTGTTTCGTTTTGATTTAGTTTGCCAGAGGGCACATATTCTTGCTAGACAGAGACAGAGAGATAGAGGGAAAGTAAGAAAGCAGAAAGCACCCCCCATGGAGAATGTTCATGGCACAATCCATTCTCCTCCATTTCTCCCTCCTTTCAAGATTTTGGGCATGCACGCACAAGTCCCCTGAGTGCTTCTCCACTTGTTGGGTCTGGGATGCAAAGAGCAAGGTCAGCCACATGGGGTCCGGCCACCTTAACCACCAGGCCATCGGCTGCCCCCAATCCTGTTTTATTTTCCAATCCTGTTTTATTTTCTTCCCAGCTTATAAAAATGCTCACAGTTATTTATTTTCATATCTGCTGGCTTTGCTCGATGTTACAGCCTCAGCTATAATGGAATAACAGCAGTGCCTGCCAGTTAATAGGTTCTCAGGAAGTGTTCTTTAAAGAGTTGCGCATGAAACCGCATTGCTGAAAGAGCCCTTCTGCAGCCCAGGCTAGGGGCTGGGAAGAACACTGCAGTCTAACACCTCCTGCGCCTTGCGGGAGGCAGCGTTGTTGATGGTGCCAAAGACATAAATTTTCTGAGGACCAGGATCTAGGAGGGATACTTGAAACCTTCCTTGCAAAAATTAAAGTTAAGTAAAATATAAAAAATTACTTTCCTTGCTTGAGAAAAGGGACATGCTTGGGCTAGGTAGTTAGGAGTCCCTCCTGAAAGAGAGATGGGGAGGGAGAGGTAGACTAGGTAGGTGGGAGGAAATAGGCAGTCCAGGAGCAGAGATTGGGTGTGTGTGGAGGGAGGGGCACGACACAGGTTGAGTGAGTGCAGTCATGCCAGCCTGCTCGGAGGGGCCATTCCAGGTGGGGCCATGCATAGAGCTAGGAGTGGGAAGGTGGTCAGATATCAAAGGAGGAGACTTTGATGCTAGACTGAGAAGCCAGAGCTTTATTTACCTAACACAGGTGGAAGTACAGTCAGATTCTTTGCATTATGCATATGTAAGGAATTCCTTAATTAATTAAGCTGTAGGGTGTGTGCACTCACTGGAGCTAGAGAGAGAGATAGGGAACATGAGAAAGCACCCCTTGGGGGTTATGACCACACCACAGTCCCTTCTTCATTCTCTTCTTGGGGTTCTGAGCACGTGTGCACATGTGTCCCACACGTCTGTTGAACTGACAGGTCCAGGACTCGAACCATGCTGTCAGCCGTGTGGGATCCAGGTGTCTCAACCACCATACCGCCTCTTTTTTTTTTTTAAATCTTTTTAATTGTCAGAGAGCATGTACATTTGCTTGAGAGAGACAGGGAGGGGGAGCGAGGGAGGGAAGACACTCTAATGAGACGTGTTCATGTTGCAGTCCTCTGTTTCTTCATCTTGTTGGGATTTTGGCCATGCACAGACTTGCACCTCACATGTTTTTCAGTCTTCTAGGGCTGGGACTTGAACTGGGACTCACACCATGGTGGACCATGTGGGATTTAGCTCCTTTAACCACTAGGCCATGAGGCCAGCCCAGAGACTGGTCTTATTCAAGCAGGTTTGTTTTCTGTACATGGCAGTCACGCAGAATTGGAATGCTCTTGCCACAGTGTCGCTTAAAAGGATGCCGGGTGTTGGTGTAATCCCTCTTGTAGGAAAGACATTTCATTTCTATCCAGACATTCAGTCCTGGCCACGTTTCCTGGAGGAACCAAAGTGATGGGTCCACTGTGTCCGCCGTTTTACTCGAGAAAAGTGTAAGTGTGACTTGTAGGTGTGACTAGGGAGCCTGACTGTCCTGGTCACCTTTTTTTGTGGTGGGTGGGGGCTTGCCATAGGGTGTATGTGCTTGCTGGAGAGTGACAGAGAAGTGAAAAATCACCCCCTGGGTGGTGATGGTCACACCACAGTCCCTTCCCCAGTCTCCTTTCGGGATTTTGGGCACATACACACATGCGCCCGGTGTGATTTTCAAGCCACCTGGTTTGGGACTTGAACTGCAGTCAGCCACATGGGAGTCCAGCATTGTAACCACTATGTAACCCACTGGCCTTCTGGTCATGCATTTTTTTAGTCTGTCCCAATCTGCCCTCTACTGGTGTACAGCAGCCACCCTGGGATCTGCCTTCAGCATGATCTTGGTGTGCTCTGCTGTCCCCCATGTCATGAGCACCCTGTCCTGTGTGACTGGCTTCCGTAGTAGAGCCTACCCTCCAGTTGGTTTTTGCAAATAGAAGCATATTTTGCTTTGTAAGACACTCTGAGAGCAAATTGTTATTTAAAACATACACATTTGGTACTACATTTGTTTTTAAAACTATTCATTCATGTATATTCACAGACAAAAGATTGGAAGGTTATATACCAAATGTTAGCAGTAATTCTTTTCCAGTGAGGGAAATGGGGGTGATCTTAAAATGTTTTTTTTTTTCCCTTGAACATATATTGACTCATAAGAAAAAGTACTCAGTTATTTTTGGAATTTGTAATAGCAACTAATAAGAATTATCTGTATAGTTTTTCTCAAGAACTGTCTACTGTTGGGACCAGCAGTTAGCGTAATGGCTATGTCGCTGAACTCTCATGTAGTTGACTGCGGTTCGAGTCCTGGACCCAGTGGCTTAAACTCACGCCGGGAGCGTGTGCCTGCGTGCCCAAGATCCCGAGAGAAGAATGGAGGAGAAGGGATTGCGGCCTGGCCATCCCCACTGGGGGGGTGATTTCTCGCTTTCTGTCTCTCTCTGTCTTTCTGGCGAGTGCACGCGCCCTATAGCAAAAACCTCTCCAAAAAAGAAAAAAAAAAAAAGAAAAGAAAGAAAGAAACAAACACTCGCTCTGTCTTTCTGGGGAGTAAAGCCCCCTATAGCAAAAACCCCCCCAAAAAAAAAAAAAAAAAAAAAAGAAAGAAAGAAAGAAACAAACAAACAAAAAACTGTTGAAGTTTGAAAATCCATGTCACCTCTGATAAAAGACATGTTGCCATTCCCCGGGTTATTTTTCTCTAGGGTGGGAGTTTTGTTGTCGATCATTTTATTTACTTATTTATTTCCTTGACTAGATGATAAGTTTTCATGCTTCAGTATTAAAAAAGACAAGCAGAGCCAAGTGTTCTGTTTCCTTTTCTCATGGTTTCTTGTCCATCACTCTGTCCACTACTGCGGGGCCACCCCTCTCTGGGCTGCGACTGTAGCTGTTGGTTTTGTTTCCTGTCCTCATTCTCCACGCCTCATTCCTGATTCCTTATCCCTCCCTCACAGTCCCCACCCGCTTTGCTCTCTGTTGCCCCTGGTAGAGGCTTTGCACAGATCTCTAATGGTTCGATTTGCTAACTTTCTTATGACCAAGAGAGAGCATGGGCGGGGGAGAGGCAGAGGGAAAGCTAAGTATTTTTGATGTACCCCAGCCTCCCAGTTAGCTAGAACCACAGGTGGCGTCACTGCAACCAGCCTGTTGAGGTTGGGGCTACGTAGCTGAACCCAGGCCTCCCATGTGGCCCTCACCACCACAGCCGGACCCAGCTCGTTCCCGACACCTAACCGAAGCCCTGCGCTGGTTCACTTGGAGCCTCCGTGAAGGGAATCCGGGTGGGCCTTGCTAGGGAACAGCTTTCCCCCAGTTCTTACTGGCTTGGCCTGCCTGCCTTCACCCCAGGTCGAGGTCTCCTGTGTTGCCAGACCCGGGGCCTTTTGAGGCTTCAGTGGTGGAAACTGGGCAGTTTCTCAACCTTGCCCACTGCTGGGTGATGCCTTGACTCTCATGGACCTGCTCGGTTACTACGTTTTCAGGTTTCCGTTTCCAAACAGCGGCTGTTGTCCTCTGTCATGCTCCCCACCCTAGGAGGTGTTTTGTTTTTTCTTTAGGAAGACATCTTGTTTAAATCCTCAGGGAAGAGGCAAAATTAAATGCACTTGTTTAATCTGTCATCTTCATCCAGAAGGCCCCAAAACACGTTCTCAACTCCCCCACCCCACAGAGCCTCTTTACAAGCCACATGGGATACGGATCTTGGCTCCAGAGTTTTTCCTGTCCCCTTCACTCACAGGCGTAGTTCCACGTGACTGTCAGCTGTTGATGAAAGTCAGAGCATTTTCTTAATGGAGAGTCCCCCTGTTCAGGGTTCTGGGAAAGGGCTTGCCCAGCAGTCGCAACAGCGTGCAGGAGGGCAGGCGACAGCAGGAGGGGAGGGACTGGAATTCCTCAGTTGGCCTTCCTGTGGCTCTGCCTTGCTGCAGGATGTTAGACGTTAGTTTTGTTTCCTTCCCCACGTTCTCATTGTCCTGAGATGGCGTCTCCTCGCTGTGAAGTCACGGTGTTCCCGGGGTAGTGAGAGAGACGGGCACCAGGTCGTGTGTGTGAATCGACAAGAGGCAGGTGTAGGCCATGCGTGTGACAGACTAGCAATGCACCTGCCCCAGCCTGACATGTCCCAAGGCAGGGGTGCCCTCTGCGCTCTGATGAGGGCGAAAACGTACTTAGCAGTGTCGGTTTTCCTTTCAGGCCCCTGTGACGTTTGATGACATCACAGTGTACCTGCTCCAGGAGGAATGGATGCTGCTGAGTCAGCAGCGGAGGGAGCTCTGTGGGTCTGACAAGCTGGTGACCCTGCCGGGTATGGCTTCCCGTCCACGCCCCCCTGTCTTCAACCCAGATCGGCATCCCCATCCTTATCCGCACCAGAACACGAGAATTTTCTGAAACCCTGCCACTCCCCTAGGCATCTTCACGCCAGCTCTGTCTTCAGTCCCATGTCTAACTTAATCACACATGAATTTGCATTTCACGCTCGCTCTTTTAAATTGGCCAAGGAAGTGGGCAAACCTGGCATGTCAAGGCTAGACCTATCCTGGATCCCCTGTGCTATCCCAAGATGCCAGGCGGGCCTGGCCTGAGGATCTGTGGAGCCCACAGGACACTGGAGCAGTGACAGGGGGGAGAGGGTGTCCCACTTGTGTGGAAATCTGGTCTCAGTTCTGCCCCCAGATGCTGGTGTGACTTTAGCATTGATTTCCTTCCTAGAGCTGTCCTAAGACTCAATGGGATAAAGCAGTTTAAGACTGTGAATATAGGTCATTTTCATCTCCTTATTGATATTTCCTGAGTGCTTCTTTCTCTGTTTCCATGGGTGCGGTTTCTGCACTGAGGACGGAGGTGGTCGTAATTCAGCGTGGACGTGCAGGTGTATATTTGCTGATTGCGGTTTGGTGATTGTCACCATGCCTTTGCTTAGTTCTTGGTCCCTGTCTGAGGCAGGGTAGGGTAGGTCTCCTCCCTGTGCCTCTAGACCGGCTTGGCAGCCACCGATCTTTCTAAACTAGGCGTTGCAGAGTAGCAGCTCTGGGCCAGATTTGGCTCCCAGGTTGGAGTTGTGTTTTGTTTCATTTTGTTTCACTTTGCTTTATATTTTGGCTTTTACTACATTTAGCTCCCAAAAATATTTAGGTAGTTTACCATTGGGAGTTTTCACTTAAAGTGTGGATTCTTGGCTACTCTTAGCAGGTGGGGCAGTGAGGCAGACCTGAGCCTGCGTCTGCGTGGAGCTTTCCTGACCTCTCCAAGGAGTAGGTCCCCCAGGTCGCCACAGCTCCCAGGGCGGCCTAGTTTCCTTGGCTGTGGTGTTGACCTGGCCCTGCTCGAGGCCTGAGATGTCACCTACACCTGCACTCATAGTTCCCATACCTCTGTAGCCCGGCTTGGGCCCCTCGTTGCCTTTACTGGCTCCATTGTTTTAAGAGTTTCGTGGATATCTGCGTTTCTAAACTGCAGTGCTAAACTGTCACAGTTCCCACTTTCCTCCATGACCCATTATTTTGATGACACCAAGAGGATGGCACAAGAAGAGCTCTCCTCCCTGCTGTGACCTGGAGCCAGGGTCTCACCACACTGTTCTCTGTTCCCGACTCAGGACCGACTGTCACCAACTCCCCGCTGTTCTGTAAGTTTGGGCGAGGGCCAGAGCCATGGATAGGCAATGTCCAGGGCCAGAGAAGTCTCCTGGACCATCCTTCAGGTGAGTGTGCTCAGCTGAGACGGAGCAGGTGCTACCAGCCTCTCACTGCCGCCTTGCCT